TAAAAGCTTGTTGAGATAAATGTATGTTCCATCTCCTGACTTAAATTGCAAGCTCCTAAGAGGGATGTTGCTTCCATCTTTCCCACAGCACAAAGCCCAGGGCTGTCCAATGGATCTCTTTTGGTTGACTGAGTGATTGATAGTTGATGATTACTGTCATTGTTTTGTTTGAGACATTTTGAGATCAGATTGCAGGAGGGGGAGCCAAAAGTGCAGAGTTGACTGAAAGTGACCAGTGACTGGTTGGAGATAAAATAATAAATTAGAAACGTAGGATATTGGAAGGGGTTTTAGAACAGAGAGCGAACACAGAATATCATAGTTGGAGGAGACCCTAGAGACACATAGACAGACAAATAGGTAGAGAGATGTTAGATAAATAAATGATGGATGGATAGATAGATAGATAGATAAATGATGGGTGGATAGATGAATGATAGATAAATGATAGCTAGATGGTTAAATAAATGATGGATGGATAGATAAATGATAGGTGGGTAAATGATAGATGGATAGATAGATAATAAAACATTTATTAAGTACTTACTCTGTGCAATGCATTGTGCTAAATGGCTGGGAATGCAAAAACAAGATAATAATCTGGTCCCTATTCTCAAGAAGTTTACATTTTAATAAGGGAAGACAATGCATAAAGAGAAAGTAAAAAGGACTAAGAGAGGGTACTGCACTGGGGCGAAGCAGTTGGTGTGGAGAGTGAACGTGGCTGAGAGTTCTGATGATACAGTGGTTTCATCTGGTTGATGCCTTCATTTTACAGAGGAGGCTCGCTCAGAGAGGGCAATGACTTGTGTAGGTCACATAGCTAATTAACAACAGAGCTGTGACTACAAGTCTCCTGACATTCTACAAAAGGATTTTTCTGTTGTACCTCCTCAGGGCTCTACATTTTAAACATTCTCCTGCAGCTTCCCTACCTTCCCTACTTTGACAATTTCCCTTCCTTTCTCAGATCCCCATGCTCTCTTCCTTTGCTTGAATGTTCAGGGTTCTCTTTTCTCCAAATTTCTATGTTTTTCTTCCTTTTCCTCATCTCAGGCTCTGTTTCTTCCTCTGTAACATATGAGCTCCTTGAAGACAATGATCATATTTTTGCTTTTCTTTGTGTTCCCAGAGCTTTGCACAATGCCTGGCACAGAGTAACCACTTAAATGCTTGTCACCTAACTTACTAACATAAAGAGATAGGGAGAAGTATGATACAATGCAAGGGTGCTGGCTCAGTCAGAGGACCCAGGTTCAAATCCCCTCTTTATACTTACTGTTTGTGTGTCCTTGGGGAAGTAACTTAACCTCTCTGGGCCTCAGTTTCTTCATCTATAAAATGAAATTATTTGACTAAATGGCATCTGAAGTCTCTTCTAGCTCTAAACCTATGACTTGATGACCATATGATTTCTAAGATGTTTTCCATTTTTGACATACTTACTATGCTTTCCAGTCTCAAGGTCATTTTTGCTCTCATCAAAATATCTCGAGCCATTCCAAAGAAACTTGAAAAAAATAATTACGTGCTAATGAGCCTTCCAGGGTTCATGTGGGTGTTGATGTGCTCCAGATGATCCTGTGTGCATATGATATTGTGCTGACTTCCTTAAGCCCTAGAACATTATATAGATTTTCCTGGAAGAGATCTGTAACTACTTAAAGGAATATGGTCTGTCCAGCCACACAAGAAAGATCAAGGGGATGAAGAATGTCTGTTACTCAGATTTCAACATGCATTTCCACGGACAACTTATAGAACTTGTCCATCAATATGTATATCTGGGACAGAAGGTACAGATGGGCAATAAATTGGGCTCAAAATTGAATGGGAGGATGAGAGTGGGTGAGATTGCCTTCTAGAAATTGCAGATCTCATTTAAAGATCCCAAGCGTCTTATTACAACAGATCCATATTTTAATAACAATATCCTACTAATGATCCGTATGACAGGAAGACATGGAATACAATGATCTCCAAAGAATTAAAAGTTAATATTTTGCCAAGAGCAATGGAGAAGCCCACAGTGGGCATCAACAGACTGCAACATGGAACACTAGTAAGGAATGCAGAAGAACAGGAGTAAAACATGCCATCGAGGAATTGTATGACATGGAGGGTGGGTGGTGGAGGGAAGGGGGAAGAAAGATGAACTGGTCCTCTGACAAAAGTGAGGGATGACAGATAGAGAGCCAGAATGCTTCCCTAGGAGATCCATGATATCAGGAGGCACCAAAGCGGGCCTCCAGCACATCTAGTGTTCCCGTGTGGTGAGCACAGGGGAGGGCATGGACAAGAGTCAACCCAGGATGGGCAGGTAGGCATGGCTTTCCATCTGTAACACTGGGAAGACCTTCCCAACCAATGAGATCAAATATCCATTTGAGTATTTGTGTTACAAGAAGGGAAGGGAACAAACACTTATTTAGCATTTATGTGCCATGCATTTGGCAGCATGGGAAATGCATGTTGAAATCTGGGCAATAGACATTCTTCATCTCCTTGGTCTTTCTTGTGTGATTGGACGGACCATATTCCTTTAAGTGGCTACAGACCTCTTCCAGGAAAATCTGTAATGTTCTAGGGCTTAAGGAAATCAGCACAATGTCATGTGCACACAGGATCATCCAGAGGACCTCACACCCACATGAGCCCTGAAAGTCTCATTATCTCATAATTTTTTTTTCAAGTTTCCTTGGAATGGCTCCTGATATTTTAATAGGGGAAGAAATGACCTTGAGCCTGAGAAAGCATAGTGGATAGAGTGCTGGGCGTGGAAGCAGGAAGATTCATCTTCCTGAGTTAAAATCTAGCCTCAGACACTTACTAGCTGTGTGACTCTGGGCAAGTCACTTGATCTTGTTTACCTCAGTTCTCTGTCTATAAAATGAGCTGGAGAAGGAAATGACAAACCATTCCAGAATCTTTTCCAAGAAAACCCTAACTGGGGTCAAGAAGAGTAGGACATGACTAAAACAACTGAACAAGAAAATAGTGCCATGCACTGTTAAGAGTTTTATGACCATAATCTAATTTGATTCTCACAACAACCCTGTGAGGTAGGTGCTATTATTGTTCCCATTTTACAATTGAGGAAACTGAGGCAGACAGAAGTTTAAGTGGCTTGCCCAGAGTCACACAGCTAGTGAGTGTCCGAAGTAAGATTTGAACTCCAGGTCCAGCATATTATCTATTGCACCACCTAGTTGCTATCAGGTATTTCACCCGGAGCCTTCTGGAGACATGTCATAGCTTAGCCCAAAGGAACAACTCTACCAGTGGGAAATTCAAGCACTGTGGGAAGGATATTTTATTTAGTCAGGCTTTTGTTGTATCTTACACCCTCCAATCCTTGATCAACAGGCATTTATTAAGTTGTGTTTGAGGCACAATGCTAAGCGCTGGGATACGGAGACAAAACAGTCCCTTCTTTTTAAGAAGCTAGCATTTTATTTGGAGAACTCCATATACATATTTAAGTAAATACAAAATATGTGCCCAGGAAATACAAAGTAATTTGGAGGAAGGAGGACTAGCCACTGGGGGATCAGGAAAGTCACACTTTAGCAAGGCTTGGAGGAGAACCAGGGCTTCTGAAAACAAGTGGAGGTGGGGGAGAGCACGTTCTAGGCATGAGGAAATAGCCTATGTACTCATGGGAGAAGGAATGTTATGCACAGGGAGAGTAGTGTGTAAGGAGGCTAGAGACACAGGTTGGAACCAGACTGGGTAGGGTTTTAAGGACCAAGTGGAGATGTTTGTTCTCTGTCCTAGATGCAACAGGAAGCCCCTGGGACTTTTTGACCTGGGACAGCTATGTAAAGATAGGTTGAAGAGGGGAGACACAAGACAGGAAGGCTGATTAGGTGGCGATGGCAATAGTCCAGCTAGTTAATGCCTTATAGAGAGGGCTATGCCATTTAGTAGACCATATGGCAGAAAAGATTGTCAACTCTTTTCACTGTGTGACTTTGGACTAGTCATTTAACTCTGGGCATGGGTGTGGTCATCTATAGAATGAAGAGGTTCAGACGACCCTCCAATTTTATACCTAGGAACCTAAGGTTTCTGAAAGAGAACACTGGATTTGGAGTTGGACACTTTGGTTTAAACTCAAAGTCTGCTAGTGAACATCTCTGTAGCTTTTAGGCAAGTCACTCCCTTTGCCTTAGGCCTCAGTTTCCTCATCTGTAAAATCAGGGAGTTAAACTAGGATCTCTTCCAGCACTAAATGCCTATGCTAAAAATCATTCTCTGTGACAAGTTCAATCTTCATCAAGACTTATTAAAAATTTCAGAATGGTGCCAGAGGGGGAAAAAAAAAAGACTATTCAAGAGGCAAAAGGGTGAAACTCCCAATTTTCACTTCTACTTCAGTATTGATGTAAAAAGTGGCACCTTTTCCAGTCTAGAAATAGACTGTCTGGCAGAATCCAGCAGCCAGAGGTAAACTCCTCAGTCATTTCCCAAGCCACAAGCCTTGCTGCTAGACCCAGCAGTGAAATTCTGCATGCACAGTACTCAGGGTTTGATAGAGATATTTGCTCAGCACCCCTTGTATTCCTCATTGACCAATTGACACATGAATGCCCACAGAGAGGTTAACAGTATAGTTTGACCCTTTGTCATAGGAGGTTTCTGGTAATCAGTGGAAAGGAACAGATCAGAAAGTCAGGTGGCCCTAGGCATGGACTTAACAAGTCACTTTTAACCCCTCTGGGGCTCCATTCTCTTGTCTACAACATCCATTTTATATAGTGCTTCAAGGTTTGCCAAGCACTGCACATATTATCTCATTTTATCCTCACAACAACTCTGTGAGGTAGGTTCTATCATCATCCCCATTTTATAGATTAGGAAACTGAGTCTGAATGAAGTCAAGTGACTTGACCAAGGTTACTTAGCTAGTAAATAACTGAGGCAGGATTTGAACTCAAGTCTTTCTAACTCCACATCCAGCTTAATAATTCACTGTGCCACCTGTCAAAGAGAAATCATTCTTTTCTTACCTTTTTATTCAGGTATTTGAAATAATGCATTGAAAAGTACTTCATAAAAGTTAAATTTGTAAAAGTTTCATAATTGTAGGCACAATTGTCAGAAGTTAACATTATTTCATCTTCTCATCTATCAGGAAGAATGTTATTTAAGGTTGAAAAATTATTTTAATAATTAATGTCATTCATTTGTAGGCCATAGGGATATGATTCCCTTCTTTCGTCCTTTATCCTCCCTGCTATTAAATCAACAACAACTCTAATTTATATCCCACACTGACAAATGATTTTACATATATTCATTTTGAACCTTACAAGAAATAGCTAAGAAGTTGTTCTGGAATTGTTGTCTCCATCCTTCAGATGAGGAGACTGAGGCCCAGAAAGATTATAACTTGCCCCAAATCACATAGCTATGAGCTGTAAGCTAGGGAAGATGAAAGCTCCTATGAGAAAGCTTCAAACCATCCTGTGAGCCTCTCTCTGGCTTGGAGATTAGAATTCTGGTCATCTTCTCCTAGTCTGATACAGCCTGCTGCCTCTGGTCGTCCAATCCAGTGGAAAATGCCCTGGGCCTCCCCCTCAGCTAAGCAGGCCTCAGCTTCATCTCAGACACTTTGTAGGAATATTTGTACCCTCTGCCCGTGTTCCAGTTTATTCCATTGGCAAAACTCTCATGGGGACCTCTGAGGTATAAGCCATTCAGGTTCGACAAATGGCAAGTTTTGTACCACCAGGCTCCGCTATACTGATGAGCACACTTTCCTGAACTTGGGTCATTATCTCGATCTTTCGTTGTGAAGGATTGGTTGTTATGATATGTCAGTGAGTCACCTGCAAAGGGAACAATTTAGACCAATAGTCATACATGGTAAAGGTTAATCTCCTTAGTCTGGCATTCAAGGTCCTCCACAAATGGGCTCCATTCTGTCTATCTCACCTTATCTTACACCATTCCCTTAAGCCACAGCCCTACATTATCTCAGTTTCCCTATATATAATTAATTAATAATTTAGGTTTGAAGCTATCTAATGTTCCTTTGACCTCTAACATTTTAAGTTTTAAAGGTTCTTTTCAGCTCTGAAATTCTGTGTTCTAAGGATCCATTCAGCTCCAACATCCTTTGTTCTCTTCAGCTCCAACATCCTGTGTTCTAAGGTCCTTTCCAGCTTTCATATCTTATCAGATGACATCTCTGCTTCACCCAGTCTCCTGGTTCTCCTTCTTTGCTTTTTGTCCCCCTGACCTTGCACGATCAAAATTCTATTGCGACCCACCTGCATCACCTTCCACAAAGTCTCCAAGGATCAGCCTGTAGTTTTCAGCCTCCCCTGCAATCCGGAATGACCTGTACTTGGCAAAGGAGTGGTTTCCGTCAAAGTCACTGAGGTCTACCCGGAATTCAAAGGTTTCTACGAGAGAAGGGTTTGAAAAGATTTTGTCCAGACTTTCCCCAAACCATGAGTCTGGCTGGCAGCTCCAGCAGTGAAATTCTATATACTGGGGCTCTGGTAGAGACTTGTGGTCAGTGCTCCCTGTATCACTTATTGTTGTTCAATTGTGTCTGACTCTCTATGATTCCATTTGGGGTTTTCTTGGTAAAGATACTGGAGCAGTTTGTCATTTCCTTCTCCAGCTCATTTTACAATTGAGGAAACTGAGGCAAACAGGGTTAAGTGACTTGGCCAGAGTCACATAGCTAGTAAGGGTGTGAGGTCAAATTTGAACTCAGGTCTTCCTGACTCCAGGCCTGGCACGCTACCTACTGAGCCACTTAGCTGCTTATCTGGCACATATTAGGCGCTTAATAAATGCTTGTTAACTTGATTTCTATTGTACCACTGCCTTCGTGATAGTGGCTCTGTGTCTGCCCCTTCTAGAGTATCTGGCTTCCTCATTGTGCTGGCATTCTCCAAAGTCCAACTGACAAATATTCTGGGGCAGGTGTGTGTGTGTGTGTGTGTGTGTGTGTGTGTGTGTGTGTGTGTGTGTGTGTGTGATGGAGAAGGGTGGCAGAATGCCTAGGAGGGTGGTGTGTATTTGTTTCAGAGAAGGAAAGGCAGGGTGGTAATTAATTGGGGCTGGACCTGAACCTGAACTGGGTCTGGTAGCCATCTAGGGGGAAAAGCCTGAGTCAGTCCTCCTTCAGGTCCTCACCTTGAGCTGTCAACAAATGAAGGTTATCATTGCCCATCCAGAAGTCCCCCAGCTGACTGCCAAAGCCTCTCTTGTATGCAGCCCAGTCCCGAAAGAAATCCACGAAGCCATCTACCCGTCTCTGGAAAACCTGTGGGGGAATGAAAGTGTCACAGTGGGAAATCATCTAATGTCAATTCTGGAAGGGGCCTTGGAGATGACCAACTTCTCAGTTTTATAGATGATGAAGTACCTTGGCCCCGGAGAGGGGAATCACACAGACACTGGCAGAGCCGGAGCTTGATCTTGGCTCCTCAACCAGTGCCCTTTCCACAGGGTTATTCAGCTAATCTGCAATGAGCTGATACTCACAATCCATCCCCCTCCATCGGTGTCCATGTCACAGAGCACAGTGAGAGGCTTACAAGCAGGGAGGAAGATGGTGTACCATCCACTCAGGGTGTTCCCTTTGCTAAACAGCTCCCGGCAATCTCTACTTCCTGGGAAATAAATAGGAGAAATCCAAAACTGGCAGAGGGCAGGTGTTTATTTGTGAAAATAAATTAGACTTCCCCTGTCCCTGGAAAACAGAAAAACTGGGTTCTGAGTCCTTGTGGCTCAACGCAAACTCTCCCTTCTTCATCAATCCTTCTGTAAACTATTGTTCAACTTGTTTTATCACTTCCCAGAACTCTCTTAAAATTCATTACATTTAATTTTTAATGCCTATGGACCAGACCCAAGATTTTCTCAGTGACGGGAACCCCTGGTAAGGAAACTTAAGGTATGCAGATCTGTAACTACTCCAAAACTCACATAGTCTTGGAGAATTTCCTGGGCCATTGAGAAATGATATGACTTCCCTAGGGTCATACATCCAGTATGTAGCAGAGGCAAGACTTGAACCCAGGTCTTCCTGATTCCATTTACCATACCACACTGCCTCTCGTTAATACCCATATCTTGTTAGAAGGTGCTGTGCTCTATGAGCAAAACAGAATTGAAGTAGCTCAAAAGAAATGTGAGATGGGAAAATTTAGAGAATCCACCCCAAATGTTCACCGGGACTACTTGTACCCCGACCTGTGGTAGAGCATTCTGAGCTTGTAACTGTGATCAGCCACAGTCCGACGCCCTGTAACTTGACTCTTGTAATGATGTCATTTTAATCCTCTTCGAGAATGAAGGACAACAACCAATCAACCAATCTTACCTTATGTTGTCCTGCCTCATCATTTTATTTTTCTTTTTTGTTTTGTTTTGTTTTTGGTTTTGCATATGTCTTCTTTCTCTAAGACAAGCACAGGGTATTTCAAAAGTTTTAGCTTATGCCTCACTTAGCTAGGCTTAAAATCGCACTAAGAATTTGAGACAACTTGTACAAGCTTTGAGGGGAGGAAGCTCCCCACTGGGGAAGCCAAAACCAGCCTGGACCTGAATTCAATAAAGCCACTGGTTTCAAGTGGCTCTTTGGCTGAACCCTCCCATCAGCTCAGGGCCCTATCTTTCAATACCCAAACCGTGGTCCAAGGTCAGGTGGGGTTCTAGGAATCAGAAAAAGTCACCTGTTTTGCATAGATCAGGTTCTGCATCAGCTCCTGTACGTGGGAAGAAAGCCAGATTAGCTGGTTGGAAGTCAAGACACATACACATCCACCCTTAGGTTCTGCCTACATATGTACTAAGAGTTCAGGTATTTATACTGCTTTAATATTTACACACAAAAAATGTGAGATGGGTGGTGTAAGTGTGGCTCCTGCCAGCAACACTACTTTTGAGTCTAGGAGATGGGATTTATGGGAGTGTCCTGACTGATAGCAAATATTGACTTTGTAGGAATGAGCAGCCCAATGAATGGAGCCTCAGGGGGCTGCTCTTGTTCTAGCTGGACATGCAGATTCTTATCCATGGGGTTCTTTGATTTCCTTTTAATTACTTACCTTTGGGACCCACTGGTCCTGCCTTCCCAGGAGTCCCAGGGGGGCCTCTCTCCCCTGTAGACAGCAATGAGATGGGAATGGTGATAGTAAACAACATTTAACTTAGAATTCACTCCCTTTCCCCCCAACCCCCACCCCCTTCTGTATACTCTCTAGCTTATAGGATTATAGAGCTGGAAAGGGACCTCAGAGGTCATCTGGTGCAACTCTACTCCTCTCATTTTATAGGTAAGGGAAATGAGGCCCTGTGGTGGATAAATTAAAATAACTGAGGAAATGCAATCTAAGCTATAAGGTTTATTAGCAAAACAAGCGTGATAAATGGGTCAATGGACTCCCTAGTCCATCCAAAGACCATGAATATAGATTAAGACAAACTTTTTATGTATTAAAAATAATTAATCAAATTAATTAAAAGAAAACAATTGGCAGTACACAAGCCAGGATACAAAATTAGGTAATCTGATTTCTAATTGGAGGAAAGGTTGAAGGCTTTCCAAGTTGAGAGGAAGGGAAGAGTACATTTCGGTCAAGTTGGGAGGAGGGCGAGTAAGTTTTGATGTCTTTCTTTTCTCATAATTTAGAGATGCTGATTAATTGAATCCACCTGCATTTATGAAACAATAGATGGCTTATGCCATCTAGTTTCCCATGGATGATTTGCAACAAAACAATAAGATGGAGGGTAATACATGTGGCAGCACAAGATGGAGTCAGAGTTCGTGAGATAGAATCTAATTGGTTCTCTCAGTTTCCACACCGAACCAACTGCATTTTGTAACTGGTCTTTTGTCAGCCTGGAGATGTAATATCACTCTCCTGGAGTCATACAGGTCATAGAGGGGGATGTGACCTCATGCTCAGACTCCAAAGCCAGCGTTCCTTCCTCGGTGCTGTGGCCACCTCTTGTCAAACATTAGGTCTTCCAGCCCACCCTGACTCCCCCCTTCCTGAACCTCCTACTGTACATATAGCCTAAGATAGAGGCGAGCCCAACTTTAATTGCTACAGTGCTGGATTTTGGCCCTAGAGGACCTAGATTCAAGTCCTTGTTCTTCCATTTACTGTCTGTGTGGTTTTGGGGTGAGTCGTTAGTATCTCTCTGCACTTCAGTTCGTTCATTTATTTTTTGATCAGACATATGACTATACTGGGGTAGGGAACTTCACATGAGGAAACTCCTTCTACCAAAGCATTTCTGCAGTAATCCTGGCGATTTGTAGTGTTAGAGAGTTCCTTGGAGACACGAAAAGGTTAAGTGACTTACTCAGGGTCACAGAGTATGCGTCAGTCAGTCTCAGACGCAGAATTTGAACCCAGAGCTTCCTGACTTTGAGACTGATTTTCTTTGCATTAGGTCATGTCCCCTCGCTTATGCCATAAGCTGGGATAAAAGACTTATATGACCTACCTCACAAAGTTGTGAGGATTGAGGATGATCATGTATGTAAAGATTCTGAAAACTGTAAAATATCTTTTGAATGCCAACAATTACTACCACCACAACCTTCCCCCCCCCCAGGTCTCAACCACTTCTATTACTACTACTACTACTAGTGTTATTGCTCTATTGTGATTCTTATTGTGATTACAATTATGATTACTATTATGCTTACTACTAGTATCATAATTACTACTACTATTATGATTTCTACTACTATTGCTACTTCTGCTACTATTACTGTTATGATTTCTGCTATTACTACTACTATTACTGTTGCTACTACCACCATTACTATTACCACTAATACTACTATTACTGCTACTACTACTGCTGTCACTGTCATTACTACAACTATTATGATTCCCACTACTAGTACAACTACTCCTACTATTGCTACTTTTACTATCACTACTATTATTATTGCTACTATCACCTCTACTATTACTATTACTACTACCACCATTACTACTGCTATTACTATTATGATTCTTACTACTAGTACTGCTACTGCTACTGCTACTACTATTACCACCAAAGTATACCTTTCAAAGCATATATGTTTTCTCTTAGGATTAATGACATTTTTTCATCCTTAGAGTATCATTATTTGCTCTAAACAGCATTCCAAGCTCCATCATATGTGCTCTGAGAACCATAGATTGTATATTAATTAGGTCTATGATTATGATTGTTAGGGAGGCTGTGTAATGTAGTGGATGACCTTAGAGTCAGAAGACCTGGCTTCAAGTCCAGTCACTTACGTCTCAGAACCTCAGGCAAGTTAATAGACAGTTGCAATCAACTTTGCTTTTTAGATGGAGGTGGAGAAAAGGGGAAGATTCTATTTTGGAACCTGAAACTAGCCTAATAAAGAGGCATAGAATTCCTCCCCCTTCAAAAAAAATTGGGTACAAGTGACTGACAAAAACCACAGATCCTTGATGTGTTAACATGTTAGAATTGTTAATGGTAATGAGCATATTGGTCATGATGGTGGTGAAGTGTTTGCATTTGTAATCTATCAACAAATGATATTTAATAAGCTTCCAGCCCTGAACATAGAGGTGTGAGGGATGCAAAGATGAATAAGACATGGCCCCTCCCCTCCTGGATCTTTCTATGCATACGAGAGACATGACAATGGCACTAATAATTACAGTTAAAATGGTAGGAGCAGGGAGGATTCTGAGTTCAAACAAGTGAGAGATATCATATCCAGCTGGAGAGTTCTGGCAAAGCTCAATGCACTCCAAAATTAGAATCTAGATCTTCTGGCTATATATGCTAAAGTATGAATTTGTGAATTAAGCACAATCCCTTTAAAACATATTTATTTTCTAAAAGAATTTTGAACGATATTTATTCTAGATAACACATGAAGAGCTACAGCTTATGGCTTGTGAACCTCAGCTTTCTCAGCTTTATATAGTATAGCAAGTGAGTCAGTGTTCTGTGACTAATTCCAACCCATTATCAACCAAATCCTATGCACCCACAGGATATGGGTACATACCTCTCTTTCCATCAGAGCCAGCTTCTCCTTTGGGACCAGGGGGTCCAGGAAGCCCTGGACAGCCTTGGAGTACAGCAAGCTTGTCAGACTCCCCAAGACCCATAATCTTTACATCTGCAGGATGTGAAACACACACACACACACACACACACACACACACACACACACACACACACACGCACACCATTGAGTGTTATATTTTCTAAAGGCTCTATAGAACCCAGAAGGCAATTTGCAGAAGTGACCAAAAGTCAAAGCATATCTTCATAGGTTGGACTTGGGTAACTGTGGAGAATGGCTTCTTCCGATGTCAAGCTTAAGAAGATGAAAACTTATCCTTAACTTAGAGAAAAATCTGAAAGTAGAAAGGAAATGTTCTTTAATGAACAAGTTTCATTCTCACTCAGAGCTCAATATGATTGTCACTACCCAGAGTACAGGTAACCCTTGCCAAAATGACCCTAAGCCACTTGAGGGGGTCAGGGAGGGAGGAAGAATTAGAATGGGTACTTACCCATGGAAACTTTTCAAATTAAATGAAAGGAGATTTGCCCTGGGAGGGACTCTAGAGATAATCTATTAGGTGTTTACAGTGAATAGAGTGCTGGGCCTGAAGTAGGAAGAATCCTCTTCCTGAGTTCAAATCCAGCCTCACACACTATCTGTGGGACCCTAAGCAAGTCACTTAACCCTGTTTGCCTCAGTTTCCTCACTTGCTAAAATGAGCTGGAGAAGAAATGGCAAACTACTCTAGTATCTTTGCCAAGTAAACACCAAATAGGGGCATGAAGAGTTGGATGTGACTGAAAACAACAACAACTCTACCCTATCCAGATTTTACGAATGAAAAAAAATTGAGACACAAAAATGAAATGGGTCACACGGGGCTGGGACAAGAACTTCTATATGTTGGGGTTGGGAACTGCAGGAAGGAATACTCAGAGGATTTTGTGAGGACAGAGAAAAATAGTAATGGACATTGGGAAAGAGAGAGGAGAGAGGAGAGAGGAGAGAGGAGAGAGAGAGAGAGAGAGAGAGAGAGAGAGAGAGAGAGAGAGAGAGAGAGAGAGAGAGACACACACACAAAGAGACAGAGAGAGAGACAGAGAGACAGAGAGAGAGATTATCAATGTAGAATGTGTCAGGTAGCCGTACCTATCCATTCAATTTTAGGTTTAGGCAATAATCTTTCTTGGAGAGGCTGTGAGAAGTATCTTTGTCAGGATTCCCAAGACATAAAATCTTCACTTCTACATGCAAGAAAATATCCTCAAAGAGGTAATGTCCAAGTAGGACATCATGGTACAAGAGGCAGTATATTATATCAGCCTGGAGTCTGGAGAAACCCGATTCAAATCCTTTGACTCTAAATACATGACCATGGGCAAGTCATTTAACCTCTCTGAGGCTTAAGTCTTCATCTACAAAATGGGATAATATAAATAATATCCATCTCCCAGAGGATCACATGAAATTATACATATAATTATATAAAAATATATATTTATATTGCATTAAAAATATACACATATACAACATATACATATCTCTCTCTCTCTCTCTCTCTCTCTCTCTCTCTATATATATATATATATATATATATATATATATATACATACACAAAATGTTTTGCTATATAAACATCAATGACTAAAAACTTGATGAGTATAGAGCACTGTGCCAGGCACTGAGGGAGATACAAAACTTTAGAAAAGACGAGGTCTTTTCCCTCCCAGGAGTCTAGTACAGCAATAATGCCTACTAGACAATACATACAGTTCCAGGATAAGTTTATTGGAGAGTTTGAAACCAAAGTGTTTCACAAAGTCCAAGAAGGAAAGTTGTTGTTGCCTTGAGAGAGGAGCTGAGAAGTGCTACACGAAGAACCAATACAGTGCTAGAAAGGCTATCGATCACCTGGGTCTCCAGACTCATACAGATCTTTCCAATGCAGTTCACAGTCATTATATATATAAAATATATCCTCCTAAAGATGTCTATAAATGACTATATAAATGCAACAACTTGCATTTATATAGTGCTTTAAGGTTTGCAAAGCAATATATGCGTGTATGTATATATGTGAATATGTGTGTGTGTGTGTGTGTGTGTGTGTGTGTATTATATATTCAATCTTATTTTATCCTCACAACAGCTCTGGGAGGTAAATACTATTATTATTGCCCCCATTTTACATATGATGAAACTGAGGGAGAAAGAGGTTAAGTGATGTCCAGGGTCACACAGCTAGTAAGTATCTAGGGCAGAATTTGAACTCAGGTCTTCCTGACTCAAAGTCTTTCTAACCACTGAATCATCTAGCTGCATATAGAAGTTCTGGGATGAGAGGGAAAGGGTAAGAGGTTATAGGAGATGAATGATCCCCTTCCTCTTAGAACACAAGGTTATAGAAGAGAAATGAGAAAGAGCAGGACACTATTGAGGAGAATGGGTCTCCATATGTTCCTCAGGACTAGATTCAGAAAGAATAGCAGGTCTAGAGCTTAGAGTTATTTCTGGGAATCTCACTCACCTGGACACTGGCCAGGCTTCTGAGCAGTGGAGGTCATGAGGCACAGGCATGCCAAGAGCCAGGCAACCCTGCCCATGGCTTGAATGGGCTTTTCAGCTGCAAGGCTCTGGTCGCTTCTTGGTCCCTTTGAATTTGGCTGCCAAAGGCTGCCCAATCTTATAAATGCATTGGAAAGCCAGCTCTCATCCTCTCTCCCTTCTTGTTGTTTGCTTTGGCCCCCTGGTAAAGTATCAGATAATATGAAAGAATGTTCTGCTCTAATTAGGTCCTTGGGAGTTTCCTGCTTCCTAGGAAATCTTTTTTTTTCTTTTCTGTCTGGACTGTGATTTCCTGATGGGTGACTGACTGTCTCCCTTGGCACCCTACTGCGGGATGGCCCCAGGCATACTTCATTCCCTTTCTTTGTCCATTTCCTCCACAACTTCACCAACCACTTTGGTGCCTACACCAGAGATCATGCTTCCTGAGAAGCTTTTAATCCTTCTGTCTTCTGAATTACAGGACGAGTACACTGACTCCACAGCCTCACTAACTACCTTGGTGCTCACAGCAAGCCTTCTATTCCCAGTCCTAATCTCCACCCCTATCCACCTACCCAAGTCTGGAACTATGATCAAATCAATTCTGCCATAACTCCTGGAAGAATGTGTGAATCTTTTTCTGAAACAACATGTCCCACTCCAATCTACTCTACAAAGTATATATTATTTCCCCTTTTTAGAATGTAAGCTTCTTGAGAGCAGGAGTTGTCTTTATTTTTGTATTTATATAATCAGTGTTTAGCACAGTGCTTGGCATATTTGTTGTTTATTTTTTTTTCAGTTGTACTGGATTTTGAGGGTTTTTTTTTTAACATTTCCTTCTCTAGCTTATTTTTCCAGATGAGAAAATAGAAGCAAATAAGATTAAGTGATTTACCCAGGGTCACACAATTAGTAAGTGTCTGAGGTCAGATTTGAACTCAGAAAGATGGATTTACCTATGTTCAGGCCTGGCACTCTTATCTACTGTGCCACCTAGCTGCTCATATGTGCTTGACACATAGTAAGCACTTAAAAAATGCAGTTCACAGGGTGGAAACTTCCACAGTGGAGATTGTCCACTAGTCAATAATTCATATGTTTAGAGAGTTCCATGGAACTCTGAGAGATTAAATTATTTGCCTGAGGTCACATGGCTGGTTTACTTCAGAGGATGGACTTGAACCCAAGTTTTCTGGGGCTAGCACTCTATAAACTATGCCACAATGTCACTCCCCTAGAAACACGGCATGGAAGAACTAGATGTAACTTGAGAGATCCTTGGTCCACTCCTGCCCTCATCCCCATCCCGCACTTGACAAATGAGGAAATTGAGGAACAGTGAGAAAGGTGAAGATTTGCTTATGTCAATTCAGGTGACTTATAGCCAGTCGAGATTCCATCAGGAGGTCTCTGATTCCAAATTAAATAGTGTTTTTTTTAAGGTTCAATAAATTTATTTTGGGGCAGCTAGGTGGTTCAGCGGATAGAGGGCCAGGCCTAACTGCAGAAAGTCTCATCCTTCTGAGTTCAAATCTGGCCTCAGACACTTACTAGCTGTGTGACTCTGGGCAAGTCACTTAACCCTCGGTTTTTTCATCTGTAAAATAAGCTGGAGAAGGAAGTAGCAAACTACTCCAATATCTTTGCCAAGAAAACTCCATAGAATGTTTCTTAGAAAAGAGCATTACATTCTGCACAGTGCTCTGAATGGATGCTAGGGACACAGGGACTATTGGTATTGTTTCTCCCCTATCCACCTCTGCCCTCCCCAAAAATTATAGTGACTACAAAGCAAGGTGTTCACAATAGTAACAGGAGGGGGATTTTTTTTATTTACCATCAACTATGAACAAAAATAAAAATTCACTCTCTCAACAGCTATTCCAAAATTTCAGTGTGATTTTTAATACACCCTTCCCCCAACTCTGTTTGTAAGAAACTAAAACATTACATATGGTGAATAGCAGAGATTTCACTATACCTCAAATGCAGAACACCTATTAAGTAGAAGAATGTTGATTTTTTGAACAGAAGCAGACCAAAAAATCCAAAAAGATGTAGGACTCCTTCAGTTCTTCTGAAAAAACTTTGCAGAATGTTGCTTTCCACTATAAAAAAGAAGAAAAAACCATTTTGCATTAGAATCTTTCAACATCTGCATGCTGCTTCACACTGGTTTGCTTACATACTGAGCATTCTGAGGAAAATCATCCCTACCAATTTTGGATCATCAAACATCATTGTGAAACCATCAGAGTTGTAGATTTCTTCATAGAAATTGGGACATAAGGCTGTGCACATCCTTTGATGGGAGACTCAGATATAAAGATCTACTAGGATTTTTATGCACTCCACAACCCCACCAGGCTTTCCACCAGTTAGAACAACTCTATCAATGGAATGAGGACAGCATTCACCTTCCTGGAAAAGCTGGATAGCTGCCTGAATGTTCTCTCGAAGTTCTTTGATTTTAGCACTTTTGACCACAATAATTCCTCCTGCCAGACTCTGATGAATCAACAGTTTTAACTTACAGTCAAAATCACTCCCTTTATAATGTTGGTAATTCAAGCATTCCACAGCATCAGATTTGACTGGACGTTGACTGGTTGTAGTGGGTGATGGCAACTTCCAAGATAGGAATGATTTTTTCAGAATTTTTCCTATTGTTTCACTATCTGCACTGATCCTCCATGTGCACTGGAGGGCCACTGCTGTGTGAGACTGAAACACAGGCATTGCAGTCTGTATAAAGTGCTTTAACCTTTTTGCCTCCTTTCCCAATCATTGCTCCAACATTTTTGCTTTGAAGCAAAATGGCCTAGTTCAACCATCTCATCAGTGTTTCTAGATCTTTCAAAGGCCTGTCCCTGTCCACACCCTCAGCAGGATGCTTATCAATTCATTGGTTTCAGTATTGGAGGTTTTTTTCTGGTTGCTCAGTCTCCATTTTTTCAGATTAAATGAGTACCAGGGGTGAGGGACCTCCAGCCTCAAGGCCACATGTGGCCCTCTAGGTCCTCAAGGGCAGCCCTTTGAGAACAAATGTTCTGTGAAGTTTGCATTCAGTCATGTGACCTTGAGGCTGGAGGTTCCCCACCCCGACAATAACACCAGGCCACCTTCAGCTGCTGCCTCAGTTGATTGGAGCTAGACAGAGACCAAGCAAAGTCCCCACTCACTTCCCCCATTCCCAAATCTAATATTCTTTCCATTCACTATATCCATTCACTTCTAGGAAGAGCAGATATTCATACCTCTTTTGCAAGGCCTCTTCCATTAAGAAGAGTTTGCCCTGCACATCTATTTTTAAGTAAAGGCCAGACACCCAAATCTCCCTGTCTTCAATTGGCTTTTAGTAGTTGTAGGTTGTCCTTAGGAGCTTTGTACAAGTGATCCCAGGATATCTTTGATCAATAAAGTGTTTGCTGGGTAGGACATTCTGTCTTTCCTGCTCTCCTCCAGCATTTATTATCTGTGTTATTCAGGAGAACTTATCACATACCGCTGTGTACTATGAGTTAGTTATGTCTGCATGCATGCATTTTGTTGCCTCAATTAGATTGTGAGCTTCTTAATTAAAATAACAGGTATAGGATCCCATCGCCTCAATCCTGAACTATTGCAATAGCTTCCTGCTTGGTCTTCTTCCCTCTAGTCTCCCCCTACTCCATCCAACTCAATTTCCAACTCAATTACCAAAGAGATCTTCCTAATGGTCAAGTCTAATTATGCCTCCGTCCCTCTTCACTTCCCATATTTAATAAATTCCAGTGCCTTCCAATTGCCTGCAGAATCAAATGAAAAAACCTTTGCGTGGCTTTTAAAGCCATTTGTGACCTAGACCCTTTCTCTCTTTCCAATCTTCTTATACTTTGTTTCACTTCTGCATACTCTATGACACCAGCCTCCTTGGTTTTTCTTACACACAACACCCCAGTTCCAGACTCCTCCATGTCTTTTTGGCTGTCCCTCATTTGGAACTCCCTGCTTCCTTCTCTCCATCTCCTGACTTCCCTGGCTTCCTGTAAGCCTAAACTGAAACCCCACTTTATGCAAGAAGCCTTCCTCATTCCTCTTAATACTTAATACTAATGCCTTCCCTCTAAGCTCAGTGGTAGAGTTGATAGACACCTTGCCTGGAGTCAGGAAGACCTGGGTTCAAATCTTCAATCCTCTACTTCTTTTTCTGGACATTGGCTCCAAACTATGCAGTTCCTGACTATCCCACATGCTCTCCCTCTTTCCAGCTTCTCTGTTATATTTCCCTTATTAGACTGTAAGATCCTTGAGGACAGGCACTGCCTTGCTTATTTGTGTTTGTAGCCTGAGCACTTAACATAGTTTCCGGCACAAGTAAGAGTGTAACAAATATTCAATCAATCAGTCTATCTACCTGTCTATCTAGATGTCTTTTTCTTCTCTCTTTCTGCCTCTCTGTCTCTGTCTCTCTCTCTCCAGTCTCTCTGTCTTTCTCTGTCTCTCTGTCTGTCTCTGTCTCTCATCTTTCTATCTAATCCCAAACCTTCATATCCTAATCTATAAAAGATTAAAATAATCTTCCCACCTTCCCTATAAGGTCATGACAAGGAAAATGTAATAGAAATGTAAATTGTTGTTATTATTCTTTGAGGGCAGACATTATTGTATTTGAGTCTTTGAGATTCCAGGAGTAGGAGAGAAGGTAAAGGAGCCAGACATCTTGCACAAGGACCCCTGCCCCTCTTGACAACAGTGTAAGATTGCAGGGTGGGTGTAACCTACTCCACCTAGACCCCAACAGTCAACTCTAGAACCCTGTGGAACAATCTTATACAATGATAGAAAGTTAATTCGTAAGCTGTGGTTATTACCAATTCTCTGGACCCAGTTGTACAGGCTTTAATCTTGAAGTTTTTTTCAATAATTATACTCTTTTGGGCTCTTTTTGCCCCACCCAGGTTCTTCCCTGAAAACATCAACACTTGGCTCATGTCTTTCCCTTGAAGGGTCTTTAGTTTCCATGCAAGCTCTCAGGTTAACAAGACATTGAAGATGTGTCCTAATAGATTTTATTTAACTTGACAGAAAATGCAAAGCAATCATACCTCAGCCCAGAGCCATCAGAAAAACACCCTTCCCTTTGTAGAAGGCTTTTACCTTTCTATAGGGACACATAGCCTTCCAAATTTAGAGGACCATACCTTGAATGAAGTATCTCTACAAGGG